CATTACCTATCAGGCGACGATTAGAGCTGATCTTTGATGTACAGTAACTCCCCTCTACAATGAACCCATCAGTCACGTTGACAGCACACCTCAATGCTGTGTCGCTGTATTAAAACAGTGTTTGGTGTCAACAGTTTGTACATAAAAACGAATGTCTCAATTAATTGAATGAAATTTTAAATACCTTAGCACATATGTGTCAAACTCAAGGCCCGGGGGCCAAATGCGGCCCGCCAAGCCATTTTGTGTGGCCGTTGGGAGCTTAAAAAACATTTAGTAAAGTCCATGCAGCAGAGTTTCCTAACCTAAGTAATTAAAAGTTGTTTGATTACAAAGCAATGAACAATATTTGTAGCTTGAATAAATAATAATCTATTGCAGAAACATGTATTAGTCTGTTATGGACTAGTTACATCCATACCAGAGGTCCTCTACCTTTTTGTTCCAAGGACTGGTCGGTAGGACTTTATTCTGTGTCTGAATGACGTATTATTTTAGAATATTGCCAGATTAGATCTTTAAATAAAGAACGTTAATGGATATGACTGAATTGTCTTTAAATGAAGTAAATTAATAAAAATTAAGTACATTTTTTCAATGTGTCCCGCTGTGGACCAGTACCAAATGATTTATGGACTACTACTAGTCCACGGACCGTGGGTTGGGGACACCTGATCTGTAGTCTTCCATTTATAACCGGCCCTTTAAGGGGAAACTAAATTGCTGATGTGGGTTTGATACCCCTGACTTAGCAGTTCATCAGCTTTCCAAATAAAAACAAAACAAAAAATAAATATATAATTAGACTTGTCCTTTTAATGAAAATCCTTTTCACCTAGTCTGCAGCCAGGATTTGATTCCACATAAAAGGCGTCACTGCAGTTCTTCCTGCTGCCAAAACCCTGCAAACACTGATTGATGTGAGAATATTGGATGGATGATTTGGTCTCAGCGCTGTGGTTCCAGTCACACGCGTTACATAAGCCCCTGCTGGTGAAAGGAGACGGCGCTGTCGCCCTCACCCTCACCCTCTGTGCGAATCTTATCTCATCTCCTTCATTAGCCAATCTCGCTGCTCTGCCCCCCCCCCCCTCCTCTTCACTCCCGCCAGGCTTGCTGCTAAAATGCTAATGAGGCTCGTGCACAGCAATTACAGCGCGCACGCCGACAAGTTGCGATACTCACCTCCCGCAACAACCCCCCGAGTTGCGTCTGACTTAAATCAATAAAGAGGGACCTCACTGTGGGGTCTATTAATATGAGGCGTTACATTAGTTCAATTAAAAGTGAATTAAAAAAGAGTTTATTCAGAGACGAAGAGGAGCGGAGCAGATGAAGGACTAGTCAGGACTGAGGACTGAGAGCCGGGGACGGTTTCTGAAACAAGTTGATGGATTACAGATATTTACATTCTCCAGAGGGGAAAAAAACCCCACACAGATTTAAGTCATCTTCGTGAATATGGTATTAAACAGTGGTTTTACGATGTATGAGGCATCCGTCCTCTAGAGGTCGCCAGAGCGCTTCAGGGGAGGTGGAAACGAGAAAAGTGAAATACCCGGATAGCATTCAAACAAACCAACTCACACCAGGAGGAATGAATGGATTTGTTACAGGGACAGTTAGTTTAGTATATGACGTCACCAAGAAATATGACGTTTAAAGTTTGATGATTTAAAGTTTGGATTTGGTCCATTCATAAGGGAAAGTGATCAACATCACCACAAGGTATGGATTATGTGTTGGTAAAAAAGTCCTGCAGGTTAAATATATTCTTTATTTCTTTAAAAAAATAATTCATGACACTAAAATGCTTTTCAAAATCAACATATATTGCCATAAATGACCTCACTCCGTTAGCCAAAAGAACCTGCAGCTCTACTGCAGTTGATGGTTGTATTAAAATACTGTGTATTTTTGTGTTCCACTTCATTGTAGTCTCAAGTATCACAGGAGAAGCTAGCAGAGTCCTGGACCGTGGCCTTGGTGCTACTGATTACATTAATGACAGGTGCGCCATGCATGTCACCTGAAACTGGAGCTAAAGCTAAATGGAACTCAGCCATCAGAGTTGTAGGTCTTCGTCCATGTAACACACATACACACACACAATTATTTGTATTCATTAACACTTACCATTTTTTATGCCCTGTATTAAATTTACAATTTAATAACTCCACTTCATTTTATTTGTGGTAGCGTAGAGACAGGGGGGAGAGAGAGAGAGAGAGAGAGAGAGAGAGAGAGAGAGAGAGAGAGCATGAGGCAAATTGCTGGAGACAAAGGTCTACTCTGGAGACCGTCTTAATTTATGATGATTCATCTGTGCAGCACAGAAACACATTCCTCCCACTGCTCACTGTTTCTTAATTTGCCGCACGGCCAGATCTGCACAAAATGTTGTACTACTTTTTTTTTGGNATTCTGGTCTGTAAGTCTCCATCGTGTGCCTGCACACACAAATGAGCACACGGCAATCCAGGCACACGTTCTTGCGTGTTGTTTTGTGTGAGACAGTAGGGGAAAAAGTGCTTGTTTGTATACGGTTGCCAGGTAGAACTCTGCAGGGACTCGGTCATGAGTGTGCAGCCACTGTGCTCCACTGTGTGTATTTCGGAGAAATTACTGTGGGAGGCCGTGTGTTTACCGTGCATGGCAAAAATCATTCTGTTGACTGTGTGGAAAAATCATTGACACCACTCAACCCACAGGGCTGCCTGCACTTGGACCACATGGTGGCGCTGTGACTCAGCGTCAAAGCTGCATTAAGTGGCTGTGACACTCACACCTGATTCCTCCTTCTCCTCCATCACTATCTCCCATGTCCTCTTATTGGTCTCTCTGCTTTGCCTCTTGTGTTGATAGAAGCTGAGCGTCACACCATCTGTCATGACATGTTGTTGCTGTGCTGGAGTCTGCAAGGGGGCGATGTTTCATCGGGCTGCTCCTGGCATTGACTACAGGCCGTAGACCCAGGCTGGGATTATGTTGCACCAGCCTTAACTACAACAAAACGAAACACCACAAAACACTCATTCATATCTTCATAACGTAAAGAATATATATATATAAAAAAAAACACTCAGTAAACATTAGATGTAAATGGTGTTGTCGTAGTTGTAAGTTGCACTTAAATGGAGTGAGACTTACTCTCCAGGCAGGTTAGCTTTAGCAGAACTGTCATTTATAACCAACTTAGCAAACTAGCTAAAATGTAGCCACAATCGCTAAAACTTAACTTATAGGATGAGCGATAATTAACCAAAGAAATTAAACATGTACATTTAATTTATAAACCTATAAATAGATTAAATTAATGACACATATAGTATAAAAATAGCTATAAGATAACTAAAGGTTACAATAGAAAAACCTAGTTAGCCTGAAAGCTAGCAAAACCATGGGAAAACAAGGTAGGAAGGAAGCTTGTTAAAAATGTCTATAAGATAACTGAAGGTTACAATAGAAAAATCCAGATGTTAGCCTGAAAGCTAGCAAAAACATGGGAAAATAAGGTAGGAAGGAAGCTTGTTAAAAATGAGAATAAAATGACGAGTAAATTAATTACAAAAAAAAAAGAAAGAAAAAAGAAAAAGAACAAAATACATTTCTAGAAGTAGCTTTAAAAAAGAAAGACCGTAGCAACGTAAATAAATGAAACTAGGGGAACTTCAGGCAGCAGCCAGGGCTACAAGTGTAAACACAGTCTAGGAATTCACACAAGAATGATGTGAACTGATCAGATTTCTTTATGACAAACTGACATAGCATACACACACTGTGGCTATTTTTAGCCACTGTCGATCTTTCCTGTTTTTCTGTGGACAAATGTGTTCCTGACACTGTTGGGTTTAAGAAATAAAAGTTATTGCAGCGCTTTTGAAACTGATGCAAGAACGATCAAGCTTCACAATACGACGGATGACATGAGGAACCAGTTGGCAGAGACGGAGAAGTCGATGAAAAAAAAAATCAATCTTCAACCTCTGCCTTCTCCTCTTCCCTCTCCTCGCCCATCTTGTGCCTTCTCTACTTGATCGGACACGCATACGACACGTATGACATCGATATGTGTACAATCACAAACTCTCTCTACTTCTACACATGGACATTGAACGCCTGACCATTATTGTCCCTTGCAGTCAATCAATGATGGCCACACCATGTGGTGTTCATCACTTCCTGGAATCTATCATGTGGCACACTCACCGATTTCTTCAGATGATTTTTTACATATTTTAAACCATCGTCCAAATGATCGATTGTAAACAAAATAAATAAAAACAAACTTGTGGTTGACTGCACAGAAAACTGATAAATAAGTAAATAAAAACAAACTGATGCCGTCTGTACAGTAAATGAGACCATTTCTATTTTGGCCATACTTTCATTATTCTCATGTAACATGATGTAGATTGTGGATAAGAAATTGTATCTAGACCTGAGGCTGTGATCAATACAGTTTGTGCTACGATTGATCTCAGTTTCAGCGTAGCTAAATTTAGGCGCTGAAGCACTTTTATCAAGAAGACATTCCACTTGTATGGTCACACCTAAAAAAACACATTCAGGGAAATAATAATAATTATAAAAAAGTGTACACCATTACAATAAAATGCCAGTTTATGCAAAATTTAAAACATTTAAATCAGTTGGTCAACAGTAGTAAACAGGCCCGAGTAAGTTACTGAGTACAGTTACAGGGTGACTGACAGAGATTAGATTTTAGAGAAATTAGAGAATTATCATATTGTTTATTAGCATTACTTTTATTATACTTTAGGGTCAAATGCAGTTTCGTTTGTTTGTCTTGTTTTCTTCTAAGGGAAGGGAATATAAACGTCATTTAAAAAAAACACTGTCGTTTTATGATGTTTAAAACAGCGCCCCTCTAAATGTTACGTGGTGAATCGGCGTTCAAAACGTGGTACTGCACCCTGTCGTCTGAGGTGAGGCCGGGCTGAGTTTGCTTGGTTCCCTTGGACATTTTCCCCACGCCACCCTCTGGTCAAATGAGACTGCAGCAATTAATGGGAAGCACTGCACACTAGTTACTGGGTTTAGTTTCCCCCCAGTTTGTCCCAGAAATGTCCCTGAGCAGCTGGAGAAGAATGTGGAGGAAAGAGAAACTACTGGCAGGTAAATATATGATGACACAACGATTAGTAGAAGATTAAAATGACTGAATGATTGTAATGCTAACATGATTTGTTAAAAAAGCTTTCTTCTACTAGCCAGTTTACACTGTGTTTTTTTCTGTTTATTTATTTATTGCTATTAAACAAAATTATAAAAGGAGGAAGAAGAGGAACAAAAGGAATATCAGGAGACTTCATGATGCTCTGTCAACAGCAGCTTAGCCTGATGCTAACGTGTGAGTGACTTCCTGGAGCGAGCTGCAGAGGAAACATGGAGTTCCATCTCCTCAGGTGAGTGTGTGAAGTGAATTATTCCAGCAACAATCACCCAGTGTTTAATCAACATCATTTTATGTTTACTCTGGAGTTTGAATGACTCAGTGTTTTATAACAAGGCTGTTTTGTTGTAAAAGAAAAGACACTATTGAATGTTAACAACTTCACTCCCTATTTTTTAACACTAAGAAACCGTTGTCCACAGAACATCATTCTTAATCATTCTCTAGTAAAAGAAAAGAAACTATTGTTGTACACAGAACATCATTCTTAATCATTCTCTCGTTACTTAATGTCACTTTGTTTTATATTTGACACAATTTGACTCAAGGATTATTTGAATATACAAGGAGTAATCACAGAGTCCAAGACAAATACATTTTTTAAACTTCATTATAATAATAATTATAAGTCTTTATTGAAGTATGAACATTTCTGTTTTGACACATTTTACCATCACGTCTTTGTCAAATTTTACGCTTTGTTGCACTTTAAAATCAGAGTACACTGAATTCAAAACCAATATACCAAGATTATTCTGTGATGTAGACAACCTTGCAGCAGAATTTAAGCCACAATGAGCCTAGAAAAATAATATGTTCCTTGTCCCAAACAAATGCAGGTTTTTTCGCAGGTTTTTTTTTGAAAATATATGTGTCATTCCTCGTACTTCAGATGACTGCCAGCGGCGACAGTCACAGCATTAAAGGACGGGGTTACAGCTCACGCTGTGGTTGTCGTGTGTTGACCTGACCTGTTTTACCTTGCTGTGGTTGTTTGTTTTTCCACATCACGGATGAGGCCTCTTAGGTGTGATCTCTTGTGTAGACTTGAGGTAATTAAGTGTCACCTCGCCCGTGCTGTCAACAGTGTTGTCTTTGAGCTCTCGCTTTAGCCACCGTCACTTTTCATTGTTTCGAAGCATCTTCACTCAAGCACACACGTACGCAGAAACACACTTCACAATAAAGAACCTAGGTTTGTTGTTGTAATGTCTGGGAGACGCTAACGGAAACCCAAAAGTTAGTAAAAATCTTATATAAAATCTCTACTAAAAGCATGAACAGCCTGGAGTACAGAAACTTTCCTCAGCACAGTTCCACACTGTCCTGGAGAAAAGGGACAAATGACTTAATATTTCTCCTCTCTACAGTCTTTGAGGTCCACTTGACATTGGGCCAGAGGCGATGTACAGCCCGGACAGGTGGTCAGTCCATAACGAGGACAGCCCCCAGAGATAAGCAAGTTACATCTACAGCTGTGGTGAGTTTCAAATCAGATACACATTTTTAACCTGCTTGTTTTTTTTCTTCACCGACGTATCTCTTATCCACACACATGCTCCCTAAATCGGTTTGGAGTGGTAACAACGTAGAATCTACAGAGACAGACACGGTTTTAAATCAATGGCTAAACGTTTTGTTATGCTGTCAGTATTTCCCAGCGTCTTCGTTGTCAAAGCTGTTCATTTTTGCATGATACCGCCATCTGTCTTGGAGTTGTTTCCAACTGAAATGTGTTTCCCTTGAAAGTCACCTTGGGGCGGTGGTTCCCAAACTGGGGGTGGCAAAATCATTCATCCAAAGTAATTTTACTTTTTTTGTTTTTAATTTGGTGCATGGTGGGAAAGTTGCATGATTCATGATTTCTAGTTACATTCCTTTTGGAAACTGTATCAGTTGTGTAGGATTTGATGGATCGATGTGGGCGCAACAACAAAAGGGAGTGCCTTAGAAAATGTAGGAAATAAATATTAGATAATCTATGGTATAATTGGTCAATGTACATGACGATGAATGCGCTGTGTCATGTTGTACCAGTTTATATAACAGGTGTTTCAGTGAAATGTGATGGTAGCTTTAGCTTAGCCCCTTTCTTCCCTGTATCACATAAATCAAAGCCCTGAGGTTTGTGGGTTTTAACATGGTTTAAATCACATTAGATTCACACTGTTGAAGATCATTTAGACATAACAACACAAAGGAGCCTGTAAGTACTCGGTGATCCTTCATCGGCCCTGGTGGCTCATTAATCTGACTCCACATGATTATGACAATCATTTGATTATCATGTCCATATAAATTGCTATCTTAATCTTTGCTAATCTAAGGTTTTAAGTCCTGACCCGCGGTGGAAACAATGGCCTGCTGGGAACAGCTACACACCAGAGCTGATTATGAAGCCAGTCTGTTACAGTGTGTTGCTGAATATGTTTGAAATTCTTGTTGAATCCTTATTTGAGAGGTTTGCGCCTGTTTGGTCGGATGGGTGTGAAATATGTGTTCGTTTTCGTCCAATTTAACAAGTGGCATATGATTTTTGTTTTTCATGTATGCAGTATAGATCAGATTTTTCACTCATCTATCACAATAAAATACCCTAATTAGTCAGACAACTAGTCAATGAGATAAAAATATTATCTTGGAGTAGATATAAACAGATACCTCAGGGTGAAATATGTCAAAATAAATAATATTGGTGAAAAGGCAAGTTACAAAAGAAATTGCTTTCAGTAAGAAAATGAATGAAAACAAGCCATATCTTGTTTGGTCAGTAATTGCTAAAGCTAACATATAGCCAAATGATAAATTTGTGCTGCTACATAGCTAAATGTATGGAAAAATGCTAAAGATTAGCAAGAAAGATGTTTTCCACTTTAGTGTTGTTTCAATGTGTTTTGTTTTAGCATAAATTGACAAAGTTGCTTAGCAAATAAATGCTTCCAAAATCCAAAAGTAGTATTACAATCTTATCAGTTAACATTCAGTAAAACATGGTGAATTAGCCTAAGGATTTTTTTATTTATAAAATAGCTAATGCTCAGAATCATAGCTAAAAGCTAAATATTTTTATAAAAGAAAATAAGAGAAATACAGCTAGCTGTTTAGAACAACGCAAAATGGTTGTTTATTCACAAAATGATGTTGCTGTTCTGTTAAAAGCAACTATAATGGACTGAAGAAAAAACCGCTCTCTGTGTCTCTGTGTGTAGTGAGCTGCTATTCTTACATCTACGGTACACGGGGATAATAGCTAGAACACTCTGTCAAAGGCTGTTGGCTAACGGCTAATTTTACATTTTGGTGTATGTCTCTGTCCTATCACCGCACACACACAGACACACACACACGGACAAAGAGACATACCAACATCCTCAGGGAGTCACTGCTAAGTTTGGATGCTGCTAAGTCTTGCCAGGAAATCCTACACCCCTCATTGTCCCTGAGAGTCAAACCTTTCACATATGACATTTGAAGAAAAATGGTGCTACAGTGAGAGAGCAGGTGTAGAGATGTCACAGGTGTGACTACGTGTTTGGGGTTGATCCATTTCTTCCAATTATCTGCTTATTTAGACAGCTTTACAGACGCTCCAGTGACGTTTGTTGTTGTTGTTTTGTGCTAATTGAGAGTTGCTCATATTTAGGGAGTGTGAAGTCAAAGAGTCAGCTTTGTGTGAAGCATTTGACGCTGAAGGCTTTAGGAAGAGAATCTGAGCTATGGAGCTCACACTGAACTCACACTTCCTGACTGTTGAGGATAATGTTGGCCCACCAGGCCGCAACATTACCCACCAATAATCCAGCAGCTATTTAGTCTCTTCACCACTCTGTGGGTGGGTGGGTGCAGCCCAGTGATGTCACCTTAAATCTGGCCTTTGTGACCTGAAAGTACCTCAAGGTCACGTTAGCATTTGATAGAATGCAGAATATTTGAGGTCAACTTAAGTCCACGTGTCTATTTAAAAACAACAACAACAACAAAAAAAAAGGCAATGAAGCATTTTGGCTATGCAACAAATTCAAATGAGTTGCTTAGTAGTGTTTAGCCTGTGTGGCTAACTTTAAGCTTACTAGGCTAACATTTAGCTTGTTGTTGATTTGATTTAATCTCTAATTGTTGTTATACTTCAGTTGTCGGTCGTTCTTGAAGTGAATAATTGTGTAGGTCTTCACGTGCCTCCATTCAAAGTCAAACACTGATTCTGAATAATTGTTAAGGGATGAAAACAGTTATAGATTTGATCATCAGTGCAGCTAAATACACAGGATGGAGTGGGTGTGTGTGTGTGTTCACCTGACGACAGTAAACAGTGCTAACTTATAATCACCAGATTGATTCATATTTATTTCAAAGTAGGCCATAAGCCTGAAAAAAAATTAATGATACTCTGTCACGTTGCAGGCGTCTAGAGCTGTCAGTCAATGCCACGCAAGCCAGCAGTGCTGTTGTTACCATGGCAACCATACTTATTTTAATGGCCAATTCCAGCTATTTTCCTTTTGTGCGAAGCAATATTTCTATTTCTATTCTCCTCGTCACTCGGAATCTGTAGTTATCTGGCAGCTGCGTCAGAGTTCTTGTTGCGACTGAATTGGCTTTAAGAAAAGTGTTCAGGAAATGGAACAAATACGGTAACTCAGGGTTGGTTTGAAGTGTCTGAATTGTCTTGGAGAAAAGATGAAACATTTTGGATTAGAGAGAGAATTTTTTGTTGTTGTCACAGAGTGGACACTTCAATAGTATTTAGTATGAACCTATTACTTAGAAAAGTCATACAAACATGTACCCTGCAGGGTATTTGGCATTTCTTTGTCAGTGTAATCCTTTAGATTAGATTTTTTTTTTCTTTCTCGCAGCTTGTTTTTGACAGATCATCCGAGCAGAACCTTTTTCTTCTGTGGTGTCCAGCAGCTTTTGTGTGACTGGTGATAATTTGTAGAGGGCTTGGTTAACTCTGGTTCCATTGAGTGGTGTAATATTCCACCTACAGTGAATATTACACCATGGATTATACCAACAAATCCTCTGCCACAGTTTTTAAAAATATTGTCCGTCTTTGTTGCTTGTTATATATTTTTGCACTATTTCTGTTGCACTGTGTAGTGTTGTCTGAGTGACAATGGAGTTCTATTGTGTTCCGTTCTATGAAAACTACTGGCCTATAAGTATAGACAGTGTTGGGCCGTCAATAAAATGGATCATGCAACACAACAGCTGAGTCTTTCAATGATTGTTGACTTAGTGTTGCTATTCCTTTTTTTTTTCTAAACTGTCATGTTTGTACAACGCCACATGTCCTTCAGCAGATCCACTTATGAATTTCCAATACTGAACACAGTCGCTTTTATAAATACCGCCCAGAGAGGAGGAGACGCTTTTTGCAGTGCAATTTTGCAGTGTCCTTCAGAAAAGAAGGAGTCGACACCACTTTATTCTCATGTAAGACACCGCCAACCAAATTCAACCTGACAGGTTAAAAAAAACGCTAGAATAATATTCTGTTCGATTGAAAAGCCTGAAATGAAAAAGTGGTTTATAATTGAGTGACGGCAGCAGAAACCCCCAAAAAAGAAGCTTGCTGTTTTATTGCTAAGGCAGAATCTTTTACTGGCAAGAAACGGGTTCTTCTCCAGACAGTTGAGCATGATGTGCTGCCATGTATTCATTTAGAAGAAGGTTTTCATTCACTGTCTCAATGTCAAGGTCAACAGAAACTGCTTTATTTACTGTCATGTCTTACATGTAGTTATTGTTAATGTACTAAGTCACAGAGGTCATTTTACTTCCAATTGTATCAGTACAATAAATATAGCAAAATGGCTAAATGTTAGCCTATACATACAATTGCCAGAAATTACAAAATTACTTTGTGTTAAAATGCAATAAATGTAAAAAAGAAATATATAAATCCAATTGGCTGAAGCTTTTTCCAGAAATTACAAATGCAATAAATGTAAAAAAATAAATATATAAATCCAATTGGCTGAAGCTAAACATAAGCGACATTATCTTAAAGTTTGTCCATAAATGACTAAAACGAATTAGTCATTAGTTAAAGGTTTGCCCAAAGGATAACGTAACAATCCTCAAAATGACATATTGGTTAGTCAAAGGTGCTGAGTCAAAGGGTAAGGGTCATTTTGAAATGATACCTCTCCTTTTTTGACAAACATATAGTAGCAAACATAAGTACCCTTATTCTAATGACATTAAATTATAAGTCAGCTTCAATAAAAATGTGTTCAGATATGACTAACATTTTCCCCATGGATTTCTAATTATTAGCCCATGATTTAGCAATACTGCTACAACAATGGGGGAACAAAGCTGGGGAACAAAGGCTAATTAAAAAATAAAATTAAAATATATTAGACATAAAAAAACCCCATAATGGTAGGACATACATTTAAAAAGCTAGCAAAGCGTTACAAAATGTTGTTCGAAATAAAGTTAGAAGTGAAAATGTGCCAAAGACAGCCAAAGTAAACTGATACTGACAATTACAACAGTAGTACTTCAAGGTTGTCGCGAATACTAAATGACATGAATATAAATATTGAAAGTCATGAGTGATGACATTCTGATAAATCATGACGTGTGCTGACACTTGGCTACTGTGACATGGAAAATGCAAAATCGATGCACACTGCATTTGATGGCATAAAACCCCCCCAGTGCAGCTGAAACAGAAGCGGGCTACTCTTCATCTGCCAGCTCCCAGATCAATGTGATGCTGTTTAAAGCAGGGGAGTAAACCCAGGCGCTCATTGAATATTCCATTCTGTCTGTGGCAAACCGAAACTCTGTCCCTTTTTGTCTCCGAAGGCTTTATCTCGCATACAAACACGGAGCATCTTCCCGTAAAGACGCAGGCATCTGGGAGAAACATTAATCTTTCTAGATTGTTTTTGTCGTCTGGAGGCCACATTTCTCAAAGGAAATACTCTCTGTCATTATCTATTACAAAGAAACAGTCGAAGTTCTGAAAAATGTGATGAACATGACTCAAAAGAGTCAGGCACAGGCAAGCCCTCACACTTTGGGTTCACGTTTTAATCATTTTCTCAAATTACCATATGTAAATGAGCAGCAGTTAACATCTGTGTAGGCTAACGACTCTGCTGTTTGGGAAAATTGCTTTGGTCCAAGTTCACTCTCAGTGTTTTTTGTTTTCACAGTGGGTTTTCAAAGATGGATGGTTTAATCCTGAAGTGTTTAAAGAGATGGATTATGGATATGGGTTAAGGGCAATCATTATGATGCAAAGTGAATAATTGATTTTGGAGCCAAACCCCCCGCCCCCAAAAATACCCCAAAACAAAATGATCTAAAATTGCCATCGCAGTTGTGTTTTTGGAAAATACAGATTAGCTTCAGTGTAGCAAAGTAGAAGAAAAAAAAAAGAAAAGTAAATAAGAAATGATTTAAAATACAAAAATATAAAATTCTTAGTATGGGAAAGTAAAAAAATGACTGAGATTAGTCCAAAATATACACAATATGGCAGTAAGTAACCCAAAGATTTGCTTAGGTTTAAGGAAAGCAACAGTTGGGTTGCCACTAGCTTTGGCTCACTTTGGCTAACATCGTGGCTAAGTTTGGAAAAAATGACTTAAAATGCTAAAATAGCTAAAAAACAGGCCAAAAGGCATTTGGACTATTAAGAAAT